TTCGCCATCCGCCACGACCCAACAGTCACCGTTTTATCTGAACCACGGACAAGACCCTACAGTACCCATGACCCCGAATCCCGACAACCCAGTACCACACGCGCAAAAGTTTGCAGAAATCTTACAAGCAGCACGGACCCGGGCAGCCGACGCAATAAAAAAGGCCAACGTCATCGCTAATCGCAACGCAGACCGCCAACGCAGACCTGTCACTTACCAGCCTGACGAGCTAGTTTTACTCGACACCCAAAATCTCCGCTTGCCCATCACCCCGAAACTCCACCCCCGATATTGCGGGCCATTTCGCATCAACCACATGATCACACCCGTCACTGCCCATCTCCTCCTCCCTGCTGACTGGTACGTCAGCACGTCCTTCCACGTCAGCCTGCTTCGCCCTTACGTACCATCCACCAGCCAAGTGGCCCGAAATTGCCCAGCCAGCATGACACGACCGCCGACATAACCAATCATCACGCCCGAAAAGATTCTGAGCCACCGAGTGTCAGAAGAATGAATGAGAATGAATGCATTAAACAGAAGTTGGGTGCAAGTACTAACCCTAATTGGGTTGTACCCCTTATGGGCTACCCCACTATAGCCTACACAAATGTAACCACTATAACATTCTAACACACCCCCATAGGCAAGTGGGGGAGAACAAGTGGTCACAAGACTAGTCAAGAAAAGCAAAGCAAGCTCAGGGTGGATCACAAAGTCACCACACAGTCCGAGCACAAGCAAAGGGCCACAAGGCCAGTTCACATGCAGAGTTATATAAAAGAGAATAAACAATACAATGATCATACCCTATCAAGTGGAAGCACGCAGGTATATATATATATCACAGTACAAGCAAATTCACGCAGTGAGCAAGTGAGGCAAAGTAGGCACAAGGCCTAACACAACAGAGAAGCGCTGATGATCACCAGGCGGAAGTGCCTTGGTGAATATATCAGCAGTGTTGGCCCTAGTGGCCACGTACGCAAGACGAAGCTGGCCACGTTGCTGCAACTCTCGAGCAAGGAAGTATCGCAGAGCGATGGGTTTCGTTCTGTGCTCCAGTCTGTGCTCCTGACACAAGGCAATCATGGCCTTGTTGTCTACGTACAGAACTGGAGGCGAACGAGGCTGCTCTCCCAAGTCAGTCAGCAGGTAGGTGAGCCAGCGTAGCTCCTGTGCAGCCATGGCCCCGGCGTAGATCTCAGCCTCACAAATGGAGCTGAGAAATGAAGATGAGCGGGTAGACCGCCAGGAAACAGAGCCGGAACCGAAGCGGAAGGTGTAACCCTGTGACGACCGCTGCGTAGCTGAGTCATCAACCCAAGAAGCGTCTGCGTGACCAGTGAGGACAACTGGACCCCGTCCTCCAAGCACGAGCCCCATGCCCGACGTACTGCACAAGTAGCGCAACACCCTCTTAGCGGCCTCCCAGTGCACCTTTCGTGCACCATGTGTGACTGAGTCAGTGTGATGGTGCGCCGTGCTCTGTCCCGGGTGATGTGCAAGCCAAGGTAGCTGCGCAGTTCACCCAGGTCAATGCAAGTGTGTCTCTTCTACAGCTCCGACTTCAGAAGGGTAAGTGCCTCACATTCAGCAGTGGCAAAGACGAGGTCGTCGATGTACACGAGGACGTAGAACGGCGGCAGCGAGGTGTCGGTGCGTAGAAACAGCGACGGGTCAGCAGTAGAAGGAGTAAACCCCAGAGCTGCAAGTCTAGTCCTCAGTGTGTCGTGCCACTCGCGAGGTGCCTGGCGGAGACCGTAGACTTGCCGGCGGAGGCTCCACTGGGTACCTGCAGGAAATGACCCGGTGAAGCCAGGTGGGCGGCGCAGCCAGATCTCCTTGTGCAGGTTGTCATGCAAGAAAGCTGTACTGAAGTCCAGAGAGTGTAACTCGTAGTCACGCTAAGCAGCGACGTGCAACAACACCCGAAGAGTAGTCATCTTCGGGGTGGGGGAGAAGGTATGGAAGTAGTCGACCCCCTGTCGCTGACTGAAGCCTCGATCAACGTAACGCGTCTTGAAGGCAGGCGGAGAACCCGGCGGCCACTTCACCCTGAAAATCCACATGCCATCGACTATGTTCCCCCGAGACGGGGGAGCTGCATCGACGTAGGTGCCTGTGGACTTCCAGGATGCCATCTCGGCATCCATGGCTGCCTGCCAATGAGAGGAGTAGGGACTTGTAATCGCCTCTGCGTAAGAGCGCGGGGTCGGGATGTCTGGTGCATCCGGGTCTCCCTCAGGGGCAAGCAGCATGGAAGTGAAACGAGGTACAGCAGTTGCAAGACACTCAAAGTTCTCCTGCCTGTCCTCAAGGACGTCCGTGCCAAGAGCACACTCACCCCTGACGGACGGAGGACTGGCAAACTCAGACTCAGCAACAAGAGCAGTGGCGTAGTCTAGACGATAGGCAGCAACAAAGTCAACCAGCTCAGCAACCAGGGCTGACGCAGCAGTGGACTCAAAAGAAGGGTCAGTGACAACAGTGGCAAGGAGACGAGAGACAGTGGGACTGTCACCACCGACACGCTGACACCTGTCACACTCCCATTGGCTGCTGGGATATCACCGCTGCTGCTGCTGCTGCTATTGCTGCTTCTTGTTGCCAATGAGGATGGGGAGGTGGGAATGGTGGAGGTGGTGTCTGCAGTGGCTGTGCTGGTGGTAGCAGCAATGATTTTGAGCGCTGGAAGAAAGGGGGATGGGAGAAACGGAGGAGAATTCTGAGTCGACTCAAAAGCCTGTGATGCTGGTGCTGATGTAGCAGCAATGATTTTGAGCGCTGGAAGAAAGGGGGATGGGAGAAACGGAGGGAAGCGAACAAGGACGAAAGGAAGAGTTGAAAGGGACATTCACGAATGTGAATGAGGGAAGGGACATGTCCCCTTAACTGCAAGCATAACTGCAGTTGAGACGACATGCAGTGAGGTTGGGAGAGGTGGGCTGAGGGGCTGTACTGCAGCAAGACCTCAGCCTTATAGACTTAGCATGACCCAACACAACCCCTCAGCCCACCTCTCCCAACCTCACTTCAGCTAAGTCCAGCTCACCCACCCAGCACAATCCCTCAGCCCATCCCACGCAACTTGAGTCGAACCAAAGACGTCTCCCAACCTCAATCCAGCCCACCCACCCCCACCCATCCACCCCTAGCCCAACCCAGCCCAACCCAGCCCGCTTCAGCCCACTTCAGCCCACCCCGGCCCAGTCCAGCCCAGTCCAGCCCAGTACAGCCCACCGAGCATGATTCGGGAGCACTCGCCACTGGACGCCACTTGGGAGAGCGGCAACAGAGGCGGCTGTTGAGCCGACTCAAAAGACGTCTCCCAACCTCACTTCACTCCACCCCACCCCACCCCACCCTACCCCACCCCAGCCAAACCCAGCCCACCACAGCCCACCGAGCATGATTCGGGAGCACTCGCCACCGGACGCCACTTGGGAGAGAGGCAACAGAGGCTCCCCGGGATTGGCCGACAGTTGAAACACCACCTGCCCGGGATGCACGCATTGGATTGGATCGGATACGATTTGATACGATTGTCCTGAATCGGTTTGGAATCAAAAGCACAAACACCTAACGGTGATTTACCCTGCCCACGGCACCCATCCTATCCATCCCCTGTTTCCCTTCACACGCCACCCATCCTGCCCATGCCCCATGCCCCATGCCCCTGCCCCTGCACCCAACCCATACCATTGATGCCAGTGCAAGCCACCCCCTCTGCCCATACCACCTCTCTGCCCATACCTATCACTTTCACAAGCCACCCACCCTGTCCATGCCAGTGCTGCTGTATCGATAGAACACGTCGCTCCTCTCGCCCACACTCTCAGCGCCCTCCACTCGTATCAACCCCTCCTCCACTAATATTTCCGTTCCATGCTGCTTCTGCTGTTGCTGCCCATCCGTTTCCTCTTCCTCCCCCCCCTCCTCCTCTTCCTTCTCCTCCACTTCCTCCTCCTCCCCTTCTTCCTCCTCGTCTTCCTCTTCCTCTTCCCACTCTGAATCTATCTCCCTTCTCCAACTGCCTCTCCCCACCACCCTCCTCCCACTCACTCCCACTCCTCCACCGCCTCTTCTTCTCTCCTGCACGCTGAGCTGTGTTTGGCTGGCAAGGGCTGACGTGGCACTGTAGAACTGGGGGGTTGCTTGCTCCTGCAACGTGGGAGGAGGGGTGGGGGACAGGGAGGGGAGGGGAGGGGAGGGGAGGGGAGGGAGGAGGGAGAGGTGGAATGGAGAGGAATACGAAGGAGGTAAGGGGTGGAAGGGAGGGGTAGCAGAGAAGAAAGGAAGAAAGGCAAGGGAGAAGTGGGCAGGGCAGAAAGGGGAGAAGAATGGGGGGGGAATTGCAAGGACAGCTACCCAACGCCCAACTAGCACACCCCAGCTTATCCATGTGACCACTGACCACCGCTTTGAACCGTGTGGCACCCACCTATATTTGACTGAGGCACTTTCCTAGCATTTTGCCACCCTTCTGCCATCGCCATCGCCCCCCTTCCATCACCCCCCTGCCATCACCCCCCAACCCAAGCCTGCTTACCCACGAAACCCCAGCTCTGAACCGCGCTGCACCCATCTCCAGCCCTCTCAGGACGCCCTCCACTCGCTCCCCCAGATCCTCCGCTGCCACCCGCCTCTTCCTGCTAGTTGCCAGAAACTGCCGCCCAATCTCCGCTGCGAGGCGGCTCATTTTGTCTTGTAGCTCCCTTTGCCTCTTCTCCACACTCCCTGTCGTGGTTTTCAGAAGGAGGACGGGAGGGACATAAGGTGCGGAGGCAGGGGAAAAAACGAATTGGGAACACAGGGAGCGGGTTCAGGAGAAAGGAATCAAAGGGGTTTGGTATAGCGTGGTAGTGGATTGAGGGAGAAGAAATTGCGGAAACGGGAACATGGGGATGGGGGTTAGGGAAACAGGATAAAGAGGGAACTATGATCTTGAGTGAGTGGGAGAAGGTGGAGAGGAGGCATGGGCGAGAGTTGACGAGGGCATGGGGCATGTGCATGGGGCATGGGGCATGTGCATGGGGCATGGGGCATGTGCATGGGGCATGGGGCATGTGCATGGGGCATGGGGCATGTGCATGGGGCATGGGGCATGTGCATGGGGCATGGGGCATGTGCATGGGGCATGGGGCATGTGCATGGGGCATGGGGCATGTGCATGGGGCATGGGGCATGTGCATGGGGCATGGGGCATGTGCATGGGGCATGGGGCATGTGCATGGGGCATGGGGCATGTGCATGGGGCATGGGGCATGTGCATGGGGCATGGGGCATGTGCATGGGGCATGGGGCATGTGCATGGGGCATGGGGCATGTGCATGGGGCATGGGGCATGTGCATGGGGCATGGGGCATGTGCATGGGGCATGGGGCATGTGCATGGGGCATGGGGCATGTGCATGGGGCATGGGGCATGTGCATGGGGCATGGGGCATGTGCATGGGGCATGGGGCATGTGCATGGGGCATGGGGCATGTGCATGGGGCATGGGGCATGTGCATGGGGCATGGGGCATGTGCATGGGGCATGGGGCATGTGCATGGGGCATGGGGCATGTGCATGGGGCATGGGGCATGTGCATGGGGCATGGGGCATGTGCATGGGGCATGGGGCATGTGCATGGGGCATGGGGCATGTGCATGGGGCATGGGGCATGTGCATGGGGCATGGGGCATGTGCATGGGGCATGGGGCATGTGCATGGGGCATGGGGCATGTGCATGGGGCATGGGGCATGTGCATGGGGCATGGGGCATGTGCATGGGGCATGGGGCATGTGCATGGGGCATGGGGCATGTGCATGGGGCATGGGGCATGTGCATGGGGCATGGGGCATGTGCATGGGGCATGGGGCATGTGCATGGGGCATGGGGCATGTGCATGGGGCATGGGGCATGTGCATGGGGCATGGGGCATGTGCATGGGGCATGGGGCATGTGCATGGGGCATGGGGCATGTGCATGGGGCATGGGGCATGTGCATGGGGCATGGGGCATGTGCATGGGGCATGGGGCATGTGCATGGGGCATGGGGCATGTGCATGGGGCATGGGGCATGTGCATGGGGCATGGGGCATGTGCATGGGGCATGGGGCATGTGCATGGGGCATGGGGCATGTGCATGGGGCATGGGGCATGTGCATGGGGCATGGGGCATGTGCATGGGGCATGGGGCATGTGCATGGGGCATGGGGCATGTGCATGGGGCATGGGGCATGTGCATGGGGCATGGGGCATGTGCATGGGGCATGGGGCATGTGCATGGGGCATGGGGCATGTGCATGGGGCATGGGGCATGTGCATGGGGCATGGGGCATGTGCATGGGGCATGGGGCATGTGCATGGGCATGGGGCATGTGCATGGGGCATGGGGCATGTGCATGGGGCATGGGGCATGTGCATGGGGCATGGGGCATGTGCATGGGGCATGGGGCATGTGCATGGGGCATGGGGCATGTGCATGGGCATGGGGCATGTGCATGATGTGCATGGGGCATGGGGCATGTGCATGGGGCATGGGGCATGTGCATGGGGCATGGGGCATGTGCATGGGGCATGGGGCATGTGCATGGGGCATGGGGCATGTGCATGGGGCATGGGGCATGTGCATGGGGCATGGGGCATGTGCATGGGGCATGGGGCATGTGCATGGGGCATGGGGCATGTGCATGGGGCATGGGGCATGTGCATGGGGTATGGGGCATGCGCATGGGGTATGGGGCATGTGCATGGGGTATGGGGTATGGGGCATGTGCATGGGGTATGGGGCATGTGCATCTAAGTTGGAATAAACGCGTTTAGCGTTTTGTAAGCTCTCGTATATACGCTAGACGCTGGCCATGAGGGGTCTGGTACGCACAAGAATACGCTTGCCCGGGCAGGGAATTTTTTTTTCCTGGGAAGATTTTTGGAGTAAGAGGTGGGGATGGGGGGGTGATGTAACCCCCATCCCCTTTTTATTAATATGAAAGTTACAGAAAAAAACCCGTTAAACTCTGAGGGTGAAGAACGAGAACTTGTTGCTGTAGGAGTAGCAGCCATGGTGGCTGGGGAGAAGAGGTAGCTAGAATAGGAAGCGAGAGAATGAATATCGAGTGAACAAATGCCACTCTTTATGCCTGGGAGATTGGGTTGGGTTGAGCTCCCAACCAGTAAAGTAGCGGTTGAAGGGGGTGGTGGAATGATGTGGTTTAAAGGGGTGTGAAACGGTGGAGGGGTGGGGTTGAGGAGGTTTGGAGCTCAAAATTCAAAACTCGAGTTCAGTTCGCGACATCTGCGACTCGAAATAGAGATCGCCACGTCGCGAGCTTCAGATTGATTTTTTTTTCGGTCTGCCCGAAATTCAACTCGGCGAATTTTCAAATTATACGCAGCGTACGAATTCGTTAAGCATATAAACGCAAAACGCAAAAGCAAAGTAGCGTATATTCCAACTTAGATGTGCATGGGGTATGGGGCATGTGCATGGGGCATGGGGCATGTGCATGGGGTATGGGGCATGTGCATGGGGTATGGGGTATGGACGATGGGTTATGGGGGCATGGCACATGGGTTATGGGGTGTGGCACATGGGTTATGGGGCATGGCACATGGGTTATGGGGCATGGCACATGGTTTATGGGGTATGGCACATGGGTTATGGGGCATGGCACATGTGTTATGGGGTATGGCACAGGGGATATGGGGTATGGCAGATGGGTTATGGGGGCATGGCACATGGGTTATGGGGGCATGGCACATGGGTTATGGGGCATGGCACATGGGTTATGGGGGCATGGCACATGGGTTATGGGGCATGGCACATGGGTTATGGGGCATGGCACATGGGTTATGGGGGCATGGCACATGGGTTATGGGGCATGGCACATGGGTTATGGGGCATGGCACATGGGTTATGGGGTATGGCACATGGGTTATGGGGTATGGCAGATGGGTTATGGGGTATGGCACATGGGTTATGGGGGCATGGCACATGGGTTATGGGGTATCAAACCTGAGCTGGCGATTTGATCTGCTGCAGTCTGGGTGGCCGACCAGAGCTCTGCTGCTGAACGAATGGCATGGCGCTTGCGCACCCCCTCTATCTGCCACCCACCACGCAGGAAGGTTCGGTGCAGTGCAGTGCGGTACGGTGTGATGCATTGTGATGCGGGTGTTGTGAGGTGCGGTGCAGTGGAAGCAGCACAGAGCAGAGAGCAAAGGACACAGAGCAGATAGGAGAGAGGTGACGGACAAGTGTGTAAGCACAACGCAGCAGCAGCAGCTGTAGCAACCCTTGCTGTGACACGACTTGACTGAACAGTATAGATTACTGGGGAAAAAAGAAGAAGAAGAAAAAAAACAAATAGCGCTGAGACACCTGCTAGCTGTGGCAGACGCTCTATCCAACAGGATTCAGTTCCTTCCATCTTTCCCAATCCTATAACCTGAACCACCGCTCTGCACCGCTCGTCACCTCTCTCAGCCGTTTCTTGAGTCGATCCATGCGCTCTCTTGAGAACCGAAGGTCGTCCAAGTAGCACTCCACGTGGTCCTTCTGGTGGGGTGCAGTGCAGTGTGGTGTGGTGTGGTGTGGTGTGGTGTGGTGTGGTGTGGTGTGGTGTGGTGCCATGAGGTGGGCCCAGTGCAGGGGTGCAAAGGGTTGCACGGCACAGCACAGACAAACACACGCCATCCATGACAAGAAACCTCATGGAAAGAAACCTCATGGCAAGAAACCTCATGGCAAGAAACCTCACGGCAAGAAACCTCATGACGCAGGAAAGAAACCTCATGGCAAGAAACCTCATGGCAAGAAACCTCATGGAAAGAAACCTCATGGCAAGAAACCTCATGGCAAGAAACCTCATGGCAAGAAACCTCATGGCAAGAAACCTCATGGCAAGAAACCTGTCGGATGCCATAGGCTCATGCTCCTCCTCACACTGACTCATAGCCATTGCTCTGCCTCCTCGTGACCGCCTACTCGTGCTATGCTGTCCTCCCTCCTCTGGTGCTCTCTGTATTAGATTGTCTTACCCACTCGAAAAATCCCCTAACCCATCGACTGGTTTCTCAGACTGGCTAGCTAATGCTCAGAAACGCTTGCACATACCACTCCAGTATAGCGAGAAAAAAAACAAACAAGCACCGAGCAGTAGTAAGCTAGCAACCTATGTACACAAGAAAGTCTCTCTAGCTGCTACTCTCAGCTAGGACACGTGGCCTGGACCTGCACACATGCGAGCAACAAACACACACTCATCCGACATGACTTTTGAGTCGACTCAAAAGTCACATGCGAGCAACAAACACACACTCATCCGACATGACTTTTGAGTCGACTCAAAAGTCACATGCGAGCAACAAACACACACTCATCCGACATGACTTTTGAGTCGACTCAAAAGTCACATGCGAGCAACAAACACACACTCATCCGACATGACTTTTGAGTCGACTCAAAAGTCACATGCGAGCAACAAACACACACTCATCCGACATGACTTTTGAGTCGACTCAAAAGTCACATGCGAGCAACAAACACACACTCATCCGACATGACTTTTGAGTCGACTCAAAAGTCACATGCGAGCAACAAACACACACTTGACTTTTGAGTCGACTCAAAAGTCACATGCGAGCAACAAACACACACTCATCCGACATGACTTTTGAGTCGACTCAAAAGTCACATGCGAGCAGCAAACACACACTCATCCGACATGACTTTTGAGTCGACTCAAAAGTCACATGCGAGCAACAAACACACACTCATCCGACATGACTTTTGAGTCGACTCAAAAGTCACATGCGAGCAACAAACACACACTCATCCGACATGACTTTTGAGTCGACTCAAAAGTCACATGCGAGCAACAAACACACACTCATCCGACATGACTTTTGAGTCGACTCAAAAGTCACATGCGAGCAACAAACACACACTCATCCGACATGACTTTTGAGTCGACTCAAAAGTCACATGCGAGCAACAAACACACACTCATCCGACATGACTTTTGAGTCGACTCAAAAGTCACATGCGAGCAACAAACACACACTCATCCGACATGACTTTTGAGTCGACTCAAAAGTCACATGCGAGCAACAAACACACACTCATCCGACATGACTTTTGAGTCGACTCAAAAGTCACATGCGAGCAACAAACACACACTCATCCGACATGACTTTTGAGTCGACTCAAAAGTCACATGCGAGCAACAAACACACACTCATCCGACATGACTTTTGAGTCGACTCAAAAGTCACATGCGAGCAACAAACACACACTCATCCGACATGACTTTTGAGTCGACTCAAAAGTCACATGCGAGCAACAAACACACACTCATCCGACATGACTTTTGAGTCGACTCAAAAGTCACATGCGAGCAACAAACACACACTCATCCGACATGACTTTTGAGTCGACTCAAAAGTCACATGCGAGCAACAAACACACACTCATCCGACATGACTTTTGAGTCGACTCAAAAGTCACATGCGAGCAACAAACACACACTCATCCGACATGACTTTTGAGTCGACTCAAAAGTCACATGCGAGCAACAAACACACACTCATCCGACATGACTTTTGAGTCGACTCAAAAGTCACATGCGAGCAACAAACACACACTCATCCGACATGACTTTTGAGTCGACTCAAAAGTCACATGCGAGCAACAAACACACACTCATCCGACATGACTTTTGAGTCGACTCAAAAGTCACATGCGAGCAACAAACACACACTCATCCGACATGACTTTTGAGTCGACTCAAAAGTCACATGCGAGCAACAAACACACACTCATCCGACATGACTTTTGAGTCGACTCAAAAGTCACATGCGAGCAACAAACACACACTCATCCGACATGACTTTTGAGTCGACTCAAAAGTCACATGCGAGCAACAAACACACACTCATCCGACATGACTTTTGAGTCGACTCAAAAGTCACATGCGAGCAACAAACACACACTCATCCGACATGACTTTTGAGTCGACTCAAAAGTCACATGCGAGCAACAAACACACACTCATCCGACATGACTTTTGAGTCGACTCAAAAGTCACATGCGAGCAACAAACACACACTCATCCGACATGACTTTTGAGTCGACTCAAAAGTCACATGCGAGCAACAAACACACACTCATCCGACATGACTTTTGAGTCGACTCAAAAGTCACATGCGAGCAACAAACACACACTCATCCGACATGACTTTTGAGTCGACTCAAAAGTCACATGCGAGCAACAAACACACACTCATCCGACATGACTTTTGAGTCGACTCAAAAGTCACATGCGAGCAACAAACACACACTCATCCGACATGACTTTTGAGTCGACTCAAAAGTCACATGCGAGCAACAAACACACACTCATCCGACATGACTTTTGAGTCGACTCAAAAGTCACATGCGAGCAACAAACACACACTCATCCGACATGACTTTTGAGTCGACTCAAAAGTCACATGCGAGCAACAAACACACACTCATCCGACATGACTTTTGAGTCGACTCAAAAGTCACATGCGAGCAACAAACACACACTCATCCGACATGCATGATATCCACACCATACACGCAGCCCACTTATGTACAAGGGGATGATCTCCACCGTCGACCCACTTGACACCTTCCTCTTGTCTGCCGAACCCTCCGACTCCCATGAAGGACATTTCACTGACTGCCATCACCGTACACGCGCAACGACCGTATGCCTTGTTGCACAAACCCTTGGTGCATCCTCGCTGTAATCTCCAGCTGGTTCTCCGCGCTAAGGAAACTGTGTTATAGTTTAGGTCCGCGCCATCCCCAATCCAATACACCGCCTTACTCCCACATGTCAATGTAATGCCAACCTGTAGTTTGTATTTCATGTGACAAACCTCATGGCAAGAAACCTGTGGTAAGTTGGTTTTTGAGTCGACTCAAAAACCTGTGGTAAGTAGGTTGAAGAGAAGAAACTGGTAATGAGTGGAGGACTACCGCTCTGCCTTCACTTCTCACCAGTTCTCACCACTCACCGCTCTGCTCTCACCACTCACCGCTCTGCTCTCACCACTCACCGCTCTGTTCACAAGCATCTTGGCTTCCCCCAGAAGCTCCAAAGCGGCAGACACATCCTCCAACCTCCCTCTCTGCACAAACCCCCCAGCACCCCCCCTCCCTCCCCTCCTCCCCGTCCTCCCATTCCCCACCCCCTCAACCTCCTCCTCCTCCTGCTCTTCCTGCTCCTGCTCCTCTTCCTCCACCTCTCTCAACTCCTCCACAGCCTTACTCAACCCATGCAGCACGCCTAACGCTCCGGATCCCTCCAGCATCCCGTGGGCGCGACTACAGCTCTCAGCTGCCCTGCCTGCCCGCTCGTGCTCCTTTATTTCCTCTCTAATCGCCTCTACTTCCCCTTCCTTCAGGCCCAGTCTCTCCACGTCCTCAACCAGTTCCTGCAGCACCATCAACGCTTGCTCCCCCCCTGCCTCCTGAATCCTCTTCTGCTCCTCCCACACCTCCCGCGCCCTCGCCAGCAGCTCTCCCACCTCCACCCTCTCCTCCCCACCCTCCTCTCCTCTCCGATCTTCCTCCTCCCCTTCCCTTCGCTCCTCCTCCTCTTCCTCCTCCTCCATCTCGCCATGCATCCCCATCCCTCTTCTCTTCACCTCTTCACCCTCACCTAACCTCACTCCCACATCTTCACCCTCAGCCACACCCTTCCCCATCCCTTCCCCATCCCCCCACCGCTCTGCAAATCTATCCAGCAGCATCAGCTGAGCGCCCTCGCTCCTCAGCGCCCCCTGGGCGTTCTGCCCATTCAAATCCACCAGGGCTGCGCCCACAGCACGCAGCAGCTTCAGAGGCACCACCACCCCATTCACGGCACACACTCCGCGCCTTGCTGCTCTTCTTGCCCTTGCTCCCACTCTTGCTTCCGCTCTTGCTGCTGCTTCCCCCTCTGTTGCTGCTGCCATCAGCCTCAGACTCGCTATAAGCATCACCATCAGCAGCAACAGAGCGGAAAATCTCCCTCTCTAGAACCACCTTCATTCTCACACCACCAGCACTGCCCACCCCTGAACCACGCTCCTCCTGCCATCCGTTTTTATCACCTGCACCATCAGCTAAACCACCTCCCCCAGTAACGGCCTTCACCACATCTAGCCTACCTTCCTGCCTGAGGAATTGCAGGAGGGAGTGAGAGGCGGAGGAGGAGAGGGAGAGATGTGCGGAGAGAGAGGAGGAGAGGGCAGGGGGGCGTACAGAGTCCTCTGATGCTGCTGCTCCCAGTACCTTGGAGTGAGGGAGAAAGGAGGGTTAGACAAGGGAAAAAAACATGGGAAAATGAGAATGAGTGGAAAGAACGAGAGGAGGATAGGGCCGGGGATCGTACAGAGTCCTCTGGTGCTGCTGGTCCTATGGCAAAGGGCTCTAAAATGTCTCTGAACAAGGCTGAACCTGGGATATGGCCTCACCTGCCCTATAGCCTGTACGATGATTGACTTGCCCGACCCACTGTCGCCCGTGATGACGTTGAAGGCCGGGGAGAAGTGCAGCACCTGCTGCTCCACCAGCGCGAAGTCCCTGGGCGGACGAGAGCACAAGAGTGAGTGGCCGCAGGGGGAAGAGAGAGGGAGGGAAAGCAACATGCTGAAGGCCGGGGAGAAGTGCAGCACCTGCTGCTCCACCAGCACCAAGTCCCTGGGAAGGAGAGAAGGAGAAGAAAGAATGAGGTTGTGTGAGTGAGTGGCGCCATGGGGGAGGGAGAGAGGGAAGGCCGGGTATGTGTGTGTGTGTGTGCACGCGCGCCCTTTTGTGTGTGCATGTGTGTGTGTGTGTGTGTGTGTGTGTGTGTGTGTGTGTGTGTGTGTGTGTATGTGTGTGTGCGTGCGTATGAGTGCGTGGGTATGAGTGCGTGGGTATGAGTGCGTGTGCAAGTGAGTTAAAAGGAAACCACAATCTGCTATGAGCTGGCGTTCTGGAAAACAAGGCCAACACCCTACCACTCACTCACACCCAACTCATAACCCTACTCATCTGCACCCTATTCAACCGCACACCACCTACTTGATATGCAGCTCTACTAACACTGCCTCTGGCTCCACTCTTCCCCCCACCATCCCGTCCCACCACTTTCCCCCATCCTCCCTTTTTCCCCTCAGATCATCAACCGAATTCTCCCACTCCACATCACCTAGCCTCTCCTTCCCCCCCTCCCCTTCCCCCTCCCCCTCCACCTCCCCCTTTCCCCCTAGCTGCGCCACAATCTCCGCCCACACCTCCCCCGAGTCCCTCTCCCGCCCCACTGCTTCGATCTCCTCCCAGAAATTATCCTCCCACTGCCTCCCGCCCCTCCCGCCCGTCCTGCTGCTCCTGCTGCTCCTGCTGCTCCTGCTGCTCCTGCTGCTCCTCCCGTCACCAAAACCACTCCTGCTGCTACTATACTCGCTACTGTCTTCATATCCGTTCCCGTTTCTGTTCAAACTTCTGTTGCTGCTGCCGCTGCAGTTGCTGCTGAAGCTGCTGTCAACGCTGTTCCTGATGCCTCTAAAGCTGCGGATACTGATGCTGCTGCTGCCAATACTGCTGTACGAGCTACTATCACCGGATTCGTTTCTTCCTGTAGAGATTCTTCCAGAGACTCTTATAGGGGGAGCTCCAGAGCCTCTGCTTTTCCTCCAACCGTTACTATCACATCCCGCAGCAGCACCTCTCGTGACAGCAGCAAAAGCTGACCGCGAAAAAGCCTGGTTGGATAAAAAAGAGCCGCCAAAAGCGGCGGATCTGACACGTGGCCGCGAAACGGAGAGGCTCTGCGAGCGAGGCCAGGGACTAACGGTCCTGGTTCCGCCGGGTCTGCTACAAACGCAACCTGCTATAGCGCGTCCTGAGACGCGTCTTAAAGAAACACATTCCATGGCGGAATCGCTAGTAACGCGTATTGTGGTTCCGCATTTGGTACTAGAAGGTAACACTACGACGGGCTCGGAAAAGCGCGCATTGGCGATTGGAGAGGCGAACGGTAACATGATTCCGCGAGGAAATGCTAGCGACACGGAAGCGAGCACCGCGAAGTAGACCAGCTCGGCAATACCGAGGAGAGCAGTAGGTTTCGAGCGTCGCCGATGAGCTTTTCGCACCCGCGAGAGTGCAGTGCGAAAGAATCTAGAGGCAGCACCTGGAAAACAACTTTGCTTGAATCTCGCGGCGTCTTCCTCGAGCCGTAATGCAAATTTGTACCCGACAAAGGAGGCAGGCGGGCTACAATTATTATGGTCAAGGATGAGACAACTTGATTGTAAATCTGGCATGTTAATACGCAACTTGTACCTATGACCTAAGAGAGAAAAATAACCTACCAGACAACAATGAAAATAGGAAATCAGAGACTCCCTTTCCTACGCAACACGGTAATTACGCACCAGTCCAGAGAAGCCAAGCGCCTGTAACTCTTGATTCACCCAATATAATATAATGTTAGGGAGGAAGTTCCTTGCAATCACTTGGGAGTGTGTAACGGGGGGAAATCCTCGTCCTTGAGTTCATATAGAGCGTCTTCCCCTCTGCGGCATGCAAGACGTGAACGCGTAGCAGAACGATGCAGACAAAAAACGGTGCTCAAGATCGGTGTTGGGGTGGGCTTGGAGAGAATTTGCACAATACTACTTGGGACGCATGGACAAGGTATGTACTACAGACCATAGCTTTGAAATGACATGCTGTGGACTTGAGTAAAGTGTGGAGAGGAGTGGAGAGGGGTGGAGTGGAGTGGAGTGGAGTGGAGTGGAGTGGGGTGGAGTGAAGTGGAATGGAGTGGAGAGGAGTGGAGAGAATCGGGTGCGTTGGAGTGGAGAGGCATGGAGTGGAGTGGAATGTTGAAGGAATCACCTTATTCTTTTCCCTGCTTTGGGAGAGTTCAACACCGGGGAGCCACTTCCGCTCCCACTCTGCCCACTCCGACCCGCCCCTACGCCTGCACTCCCCTTCCCACCTGCCCTCGGTGACATCAACCGCAGCGACGGTGGCACCATCCCTGCTGCAGGGGATGAAGCAGAGCCTGCAGAACCAGCAGTGCCTGCAGCACCAGCAGCACCCTTGCCAGTGCTGCTCCTACTCTCCCCCTTCCCCCCAGTACTGACCCCTCCTCTCTCCCTGGCACTCACCACTGAGCTGCCTCCACTGGAACTACTCTTAGGCCCTGAGCCACCAGAGGCACCTGAGCTACCTGAAGAAACTCCTGGCCCTGCTGCTGGTGCGCCAAGTGCCACAGACCCTCCGGAACTCCCCAGCCCATCCGAGCCCCCGTCACTGCCACCAGCCACACCACCACCACCACCACCACCAGAACCACCGGCAGCAGAACCAGCAGCAGAACCAGCAGCACCAGCAGCACTACCAGCAGCAGTTCCTGTCAAGCCCAGGCCCTTGCGGTTACCAAGGCCCCCTCGGTGAGCGCTGTAGAACCTGTCCTCTGATCGGGACGCCCCTCCCAGGCTGCGCACTCGCTGTGGACCCTCTCGAGCTGTGCCTTCCCTAGATGCCACCTCCCCCCCTGCTGCTCCTGCTGCACCTGCTGCTACTGAAGATGACGCTGCAGCTGCAGGGCTGCTGCTGCGAGGAGTTCTGGGTTGCTGCTGCTGCGACAGCGTCGGCGGCTGAGGTTGCTGCTGCAGTAAGGAATGCGGGCTGTTGCTGCGCCCTGCCTCAGGCAAGCCTCCTTCCTCCTTCTGGAATGCACTGCTCACAAACGCACTACCCCCACCCTCACCAGCCGCTTCTGCTTCTCCCCACCCCGTGGACTGCATCTGCTGCTGGGGAGTTCTTGGTCCCCTTTTCCCTGCCGCCTGCCTGTCTTCTCCTGGTCGTAAAGACGACCTCCAACTGATGGTCACCGTCTCTGCCAAGGCTAGTGGCTCATCATCTGCTTCGGGCACTCGCCGATCCAGCGCCACAGGCTCGGCGCCCTGCTGTGCCATGGGAGGTGCGCTAAATGGAGTGACAGGAGAGATGCTGTTGGAAAATGCGTTCTGGATGGAAGTAGCTGCATTCGGAGCACCACCATCAAAACCACCACCACCAGAAGCAACAGGAACAGGAGCAGAAGCAGCAGCAGTGGGAGTGGCAGGAGCAGGAGCTGCACTGGCTGCAGTGGCTGCACCAGCCTTTCTACTAGTTGTGGAACCAGAGGGCTTCAACCCAAGACTCTGCTTCGGCTTTGCCAAAACCTGACCCTGCTGCAGTTGGGGCACCCCTAATGCTCCCTTGAGTGCTGCTGGCTGCTGCTGTTGTTGGAGTTTTGAGGAAGGCTGTTCTGCCTGTTCTCCCATATCCTGAGCCTCTCCCCTACGCTGCCCGCCTCTCTCTCCTCCTCTTCCACTGCCTTCCCTTCCACCCCCTTCTCTCCCACTCCCTTCTCCTCTTCCGCTGACCTCTCCCCTTCCACTCCCCTCACCTCGGCCATCCTCCCCTCTTGTGCCCCCTCGCTGCTGCTTCCCTCCACCTGAATGCCGCGCCTCCCCTCTCACTGCACCAGCAGTGGTGCCATGGCCCCATTGAGAACCCTCCCCACTGCCCCAAGACGCAGACTCCCCAGCAGCATCAGCCCGTGGCTCTGCTACCCCACCTTCGCCCCCCACTCCACTGGCCCCCCTGCGAGGCTCTGCTAACACGCCCTCACTCCCCCCGCCGCTGCCGCCCCTGCCTCGCACCACGCGTGGAGCACTGGCAGTGGAAGACGATGGGTCTCTTGTGGCCACGGAAGTGGACCGTGCACGCACTGAGGAAGAGGACAAGGAAGGCAACGAGGAGGAGGAGGAAGGGGACGAGGAGAGAGGATTGAGAGCAGCTGTATCACAGGCACCAGCTGCTGATGCTGATGCTGATGCTGATGTTTCAATGACAGAAGGAGAAACAGCAGAGGCCGATACACTGGAAGACAGGGGTACAGCAGGCGCAAGCCTCACTGCTTCTTGGGCAGATTCTGACCGCACGATCCCTGTGGGTTCGGGAAAAATAGTCAGGTTTGGGCCAACGGAGGCGCCCTGAGAGCCTGCCAGTTTGCTTTTAGGCAGTCCCGCAAAGCCAGCCGCTGCTGTCCCAAAACTGTTGCTGGTGGCGATGCCACTGGTGCCAGTGCTGTTGGTGCCAGTGGTGCCCGTGCCGGTGCTGCTGGTGCTGCCTGGTCCTCGTTTGGAGGTGTCGATGCTGCCAGCACTGGCAACTCTAAGCATGCGGAACTCCCCACCACCGCTGCCATCCGCCAGAGCCTGCAGGATCTTGCTCTTGTCCACCCCACCTGCCTTCACACCACCACCACCACCACCACCAGCTGCAGCCACAGCGGCAGCAGCTGTTACAGTGGCGGGAGTAACAGCAGCAGGGACAGTAGCAGCAGCAGCAGCAGCAGCAGCAGCAGCAGCAGCAGCAGCAGCAGCAGCAGCAACGGCAGGACCACCTGCCTCGCACCCCTCTCTGCTCTCCACACTCACTTCACCCGTGCTCAGCATCCCCTCCTCCTTCCCTCCTAGCCCTCCTCCCTCTCCACCAGCTACTCTTCCCGTCCCTCCCTCTCCTCCTTCAGCCCCTCCTCCCACCCCTGCTACTCCCAACCCTCCTCCTCCACTGCATGCCCCTGCCGCCCCTGCCGCCCCTACACCTGGCACACTGCCGCCTGGGAGCATGCCAGGTTGGGGGGCATACATGAGCATGAAGGAGTACGGCCCACCTGAGAGCCCACCTGAGATTCCCCCTGGTATCGCCCCAGGAGGGAACGTGCTTGGCTGCAGCAGCTGCGGGTTGGGCAGCACCTGCACCGCCTTGCCTCCCTCACTGCCTCCTGCAGCCTGCCCTGACACAGGATTAGCCAGCACGGAGAGCGAGGGAGCAGTGGCAGCAGGAGCAGCAGCAGCCGCAGCAGCACTAGGCATCCCAGTGGCAGGAGCAGCAGCAGCGCCACTTGCTGTGGTTGGAACGCTTGGGGTTGCAGCAGGGACACCTACGCCCTGTGCGCCAGGTGCACCTGCTTGCGTGACGGGAGCATTAGCCAGGACGTACGAGGGAAAGACACCAGGCGGACCGCCTAGATGAGACAGCAGCACAGCTTGGGGGCCTAACGGGCGGGAGAAGGGGTGGAGAGGGAATACGCCCCCTGGGTTAGCACCAGGACCTCCCCCTTGAACCCCTGGAACCCCTGAGGACCCTGGAACCCCAGTGGGGAAAGTGGATGGGACATATGGCTGCTGCTTTGTGGGATCGGTGCTTGGTTTGGATGGGCCAAACGTGGATGACGGAATGGCAGACGTCGGGTGGAGCAGAGGGGTGGGCGCACCTGGGGAGGGTCTACTTGGGGCGGGTACGCCTGGGGAGGGTCTATTCAGGGCAGGTGACTGCCCTGGAGATTCCCTGCCCAATGGCATGGCTAACGAACCCACCAAAGGCGAACCAGTGGAGGTCAACGGGGTCAACGGGGTAAGCTGTGGCCCGGAAATCCCACCACCACTCCACCCACTGGCATCATCACCACTGCTGCTGCTAGTGGCAACACCTGCCTTTCCCTCTCCTACAAACACCACGGGCGCCCCTGCTGCTGCCCTGGGACCTGCCCCGGCTCCTGCCCCCAGTCCTGCCCCCAGTCCTGCCACGAGCCCAGCTCCTGTTTTCTCCACCTCCTCCCTCCCATCCCCATCCGCACTCGCCCCCACCGCTGCAGACCCAGATAGACCCAGAGTGTTACCAGCCATAGGCGAACCCGCCCTGGTCAGCCCATCCGACCAATCACCTGCTGCCACGCCAGCGCCCTGGGCTTGCATGGGCGCATGGGCATGCGGGGGGAACATCCAAGGGGGCGCGAGATGCAGCGCTCTGATGGGGATTTGCGGGAGGAACGGGGCCATGCCGGGGATTTGGGCGAAGGGAGGGGCGCCAGAGGCTGGCCGGATGAGAGGAATGAACGGGACATGGCCTGGAGGCGGTGTGACTGACTTGACGCCCTCGGGTAATGGGGCCTGCACTCCCTCTGCTGCTCCTGCTGCTGATCCGATCATCTCTCCCGGTGCTTGCCTTAGCTCCTGCAGCTTCGAGCCTGACGCCTGTTGCAGCTGGTCCATCCTTTGCCACAACATAGGAGGTGGCACAGCAGCAGGTGCAGCACCTGAGTCTCCCCTACCACCATCACCACCGCTACCAGCAGCAGCACCACCAGCAGCAGCAGCAGCAGCAGCAGCAGCGGCAGCACCTGCTGCTGCGTCTGAAACCCCGGAGCCATCTGTGTTAGACGCACTGTCATTCACACCAAACAACCCCCTGTACGGTCCCTCCCCTTCCAACCCTCCCGATCGCACGGGCACGAGACCAGGGACCTGTGGAAAGCCTGCTGCTGATGGCAGGGGCATGGGAAGAGCCATATAGGGAAAGAGCTGAGGGGCTGGAGGCAGTGACGCGGAACCATCCGAGTTTGAAACAGGGAGCCTGGTTTGAGATCCTGGCATGATGTGCGGCGGGTTGTTGCCTGAACCTGGACCAGGTGCCTTGGCTTCCCCATCTCGTCTCGGCTGTAGCTGCTGCTGTATCTGCAGCTGCATCTGCATCTGCTGCTGCAGCTGCTGCTGTAGCTGCTGGGAGAAGCTCTCATCAGACGGCTGGGAGCCAAACGCCTGCAGCTGCTGCATGGGCATCTGTAGCAGTCGCGGGTGAAGCGCCCCTGGGAAGGCGGAGAGCGGGACAAGGCAGGGGCCGTTGGGGGTAGAGGCCATTATGAGGAGCCCAGGGGGGAAGGGAAACGGGCTGACATGGGGGAGTGGTGAGGGACCTGCGGAGGAGCTGGCTGGGGGGCCTAGAGGAGGACCGAGCGGAGCAGGGGGCGCACTGGGTTGTACGGGTTGGGAATGGGCGTCTATGGTGGTGAGAATGGTGTCGGGTGTGGGGGAACTGGTGCTGGACATGACTGGGGAGGAGGAGGCAGTGCGAGGGACGAGAACAGGAACAGGGATAGGAAGAGGAACCGGAACGTGGGGCACAGCAATGGTCTCTGGTCTGACTGCAGAGGGAACAGAGGGGCTGTCAGCCCGCGTTTCACGCTGGATTACATGTCGGGGTTCGTGTTTGGTTTCATGTCGAGTGTCATGCCAGCTCTTGTTCCTGTCCGGAACCCTATCAGAAAAACTCCGAGAAGGGACACCTGTATGCCCTGCAGCACCCGCTGCCCCTGCCCCTGCCGCTGCAGCTCCTCCTAGAGCTGTTACAGGTGATTGGCTGATAGAAGCGTGGGGACTCGCAGTGCCTCTGCTGTCCAAAGTGCTTGCATCCTGGTTCAGGGGTGGTTCCACTGAGCTAGACGACCCAGTGCTGTGAATGCTGTTGCTGCGGCTGTGGTACCCCCCACTCTGATTCCCCACACTTTGATTCCCCCCACTGCTTTGATCCGAGCCCTGTCTCTGTAGGGCACCAGCAACCAAGGAAGCATCAATCCCGCCTGACACCTGCTGTGCCGGCTCTGCTTCTGCGGCTGCATTCAAACCACTGTTACTAACAGCGCTGCTGTTGCTAGTGACAGGGGTGCTAGCAACAACAGTGCCGATACTAGAGCTGTTGCCAGCAACTGCCACTCGTGAGCCCGACTGCGTCCTTCTCCATTGCACGTTGGATGATGTGTTGCTGCTGCTGCTGCTGCTGCTGCTGCTGCTGCTGCTGCTACTGCTGCTGTTCCTTGCACCTCTTGATGCTCCCTTGGCAGAGCGTGAGCCGGAACCAACTTCTTCTTTTTGACCTCGTGCCGCTGCCTCTGATTGCCTTGCTGTTGCCTCCCTCTCGCCTTTCCCTGAGCTAACAGCAGGTCCTGCACTCCCTGCTCCGTCCAACCCTCCCTGTGCGCCCTGCTGTGCGCCCTGGCTTTCACTCCCTTCAATTCTTTCATTCCTTTCACTCGCTTCGTTCCTCTCGTTTCCTCCACTCCGTTCACTCCCGCTTCGTTGCTCCTCCCTTGGGCGTGCAACCACACTTCCCGCCTTCTTCCTCTCCACAAGCTCACTCACCAACGCGTCTTGCTCCACAGAAGCTTTACTGTCAGCAGCACGAACGGCCTGCTCCAAGGGACGGACACTATTCTCAGACGGTCTCACAGTGGCTTCGTGTGTGCCTGCCTGCACAGCATGATCATCCACCTGTACTGTTCTGTGAAGGGTTGCTGCTAGGTCAGGAGTGGGCCGCACTGGTGGGACAGGATACACTCCGTTGACTGCCTCTGCTCTCTTTGTATGTCCCTGTGGTTGCTGTGGCTGCTGTTGTTGCGCCTGCTGCTGCAACTGCTGCTGCTGCTGTTGCGCCTGCTGCTGCTGCTGCTGTTGCGACTGCTGTTGCTGCGGATGGTGTGCCTGTAGGTATTGCCGCTGCTGCTGTTGCTGCTGCGACTGTTGGTGGTGGTGCTGTTGCTGTTGCTGCTGAGCCTGATGGTGTTGCTGCTGCTGTTGCTGCTGCTGGGCCAGCTGCACGTGTCTCGGACCACCAGCCATGGGAGGGGAAGCCCTTGCACCGGGAACATGCGCCACATTAGCAGGCACAGGGAAAAGAGGAGCAGGGATCCAGGTATGACCTCCCCCATATGGCACCCGGTGGGGCCCATCCGACGCCTGCACCTGCTGCCGCCTCCCCATGTTCCCACCCATATTCCCACCCATGTTTCCAGCCACGTTCCCAGGAACATGCCCGGCCATGTTTCCGTTCATCACCACGCCATGCTGCCCCCCATGGGAGTATGGCGCCCGCATAACATCCCCCTCCCCCGGAGGCTTGTTCTCATGAGCCGCTGCTGCGTTCACTTGCCCCCGGTACCCCCCACCAACACCCACGACCGGCCTAACAGCATAAACACCAGTCCCTGCCCCTGCTCCTGCTCCTGCCCCTACTCCTGCACCTGCTGCCGCGCCTGCAGCTGCGGGCGCCACGCCTCCGGCTTGCACCGGGGGGGGCATAGGTTGAGCAAAGAGCGGCAAGCGGCGGGGCATGTGCTGGAGTACAAACTCGTGGTTGGAGCCGTCTGGGCGGGAGCCAGAGGCGTTGCGGACCCACGTGTTGCGGAAGAAGCGGTCCACCTCCAGAGCCACCAGCTCCTCTGGTCCGTTCAGCGCCGCGTTCAGCTTGCGCGAGCCATACGCCAGCGCGCTCCTGATGCGGAAGAAGTTGGCTGGAGGGACGAGGCGAGCGGGGGCGCGAGGAGGAGACATGGACGGATTGAGGAGGTTGTGAATGCCCACACGGCATTGTGTAGCAAGCATTGTGCAGGCAAACTGATCCTAGAGAAGAATAGAAAAAAGGAAGCGAGTAGCATGCGCGACAAACTCAAACGTAGGGGGGGCGAACTGGAGAAGTATGCATGAGCAAGGCATACCTTTGCTGACGCTGCGACCGAGGTTATTATTGTCCAGGAGAGGGTCGATGATGTTCAGGAACTTGACCATGAACGGCCGCTTCTGGACCATGGGAGCCAGTGAGTACTTGGCATAACATTCTGCCAGAAACTCGTCTGTGAGGAGCAGGTCCTCTACTCCACCAGGCCTCTCAGCTGCACACGAATCGAAGTATTGAAATCAGTGTAAGGCTCCACTGGAGAAATTTCAGCACGTGTGCAGATTTCAGTGAATTAGGGTTTCCATAACAAGTGTGCAGGAATTCCTGTTTAGAGAAAGGAGCAGGATGACGAGGACGGAGCAGTGCACAGGGACGCACCGAGCATGGTGGGCAGAGACGAGAGAGGAACGGGGCCTTTGAGGCTAAGGCAAAACTGCTCCCAGTCAAACTTGCTGAATACCTCCAGAAACTTGACAAGCACCTGCAACAACACAAAACACAATGATTCTCTTGTGGTCATTTAACAGAGAAAAACAAGTACTCGCAGGGAACAAAAAAAGGGTAAAATGAACACAAAAGGAAGTGACGGAATAAGAGCAGGAAAACACTAGCCAAGAGACTTACGTGCAGCGGACTGTGCAGCTCCTTGTGAAACACGTGGAAAATGTACAGAACAAGGGTCTCCAGGCCGTATGTGGAAATGAGCCCGTGGTGAGCCCCTAAGATTCGGCTCTCGTAGTAGCACCATGCCTTCACCAGAATAATGCTCCGCTTGAAAATGTGGTTCCGGCCAATCAGAGCGTCCACCTGAACCGACATCACGCAACGAGGAATGCTGCTAAGAACCGGCCCATTCTGCCAACAAAGAATCGTTGTGAAATCGCATGTGCGTGAAAGGGGAACAGTTTAGGTATACACCTCTTCTAGAAACCCGAGCGTGCATAGGCCCCCCAGCTGGTTGAACGAGATATCAACCACAATGTTCTGCACGAGACACTTGATGAGCTTGACCTGCGAAAGAATACAAGGAGGGGAAAAAATACACACAAAATGAAAAAGAAACATATTTCGCAGACACAAACGGAATTCATCTGTCGTATCTAAAACCTTCCAACAGTGTGCTGGTAAACAGTAATATCATCTAGAGGTCGTGGGAATAAGAAGTACCTCCGCGTGAATGTATTGAACTTCTTTCACTTGAAACAGAGCATCTGCGTTCCGCTCTTCGCGTTCCAGGATCGCTTGAACGTCGTGAACCCACGCGTCCTTCACGGTTGGACCCCGGGAAAATGCGGTTAAGTCAATATCGCCGTCAGGAAGATAAGTCTTCAGAGGCACTGACCCGAACATAAACACCTACGCGGAGGAAGAAAGGCCGAATTAGATAACCCTAACACTGATCCGCGGTTGGTGACAGTAAAGAATATCACAATGACTGAAGAGCTACCTGGCACTCGAAGCAACGTGAGATAAGCCTCGTGACGTATTCGGATACGGCCAGCCGTCTTTCCTCTGCTCTTGTTGTGGGTTGAATCTGGGAGATCAGATCAGCCACGCGGGCTTCTGCTATTGGCCATCTGACGACGGAATCCGATGAACCTCCGCGATCTGAGCTTGGAGATCCTTGTGCGGATGAGATTCCGTTTGACATCGTTCCCGCTCCGTACGAGGGAAGTTCACTGTCGTCAACCATGGTGTCAATCGACTTCGCGAATGTCGCACAGAATCGCCGAGTTCAGGAATAAAAAAGAAGTCGGCTAATTAGGGAAGAACTTGCATAAGCTTCAGATTCGGTAGCTTTGAGATGAGGCAGAGAGCGGCGACGTGTTATCTATAAGACCTACTTATCCCTCGTATGACAAACGGGCTTTCGAACCAGCTCTGCAACCACACCAGCACCCGTAACGCATGTGCTACCCTACAGAACTGGAAGCGAAGAAACCCAAACATCCAAATAAGAAATGCGATCCGCAGCTGCCTTATAACGTAGCTTCCTTCAGCCACGAAGATAAGTGTACCGGTAGCTTAGTGTAATCGTTCACCTGTAAGTGACCATGGATCAGACATGGCCAAGCTCCCAGTCGGTCGCAACGGCAGCAGTGAAGAGAGGAAACGGGAGTGGTAGGAGGAGATACAAAAGACCAAAGAGATGTTGATCAGTGTTGGAGTGGGAAGGATGGGGGAGAAGGAAAGATACAGGTGTGACGATGAACACCTTCTGGCTCGCTGTTGAGGGTTCAACTCGACGAAGATTTGCGAACTGTGAGACTGTTCGTTTGCACGAAAAGTAGCTGGAAACTGGAGCTATGGAGCACGTAAATGGTGGGTAATGGTTACTGGAGAGCTCGAGGTTTTACGACAATCGCTGTGACAATTGAGACGGTTGGCGAAAGGTTCCAAGAAGCCTGGACAGTCGCGTGCGAATAGGGAGAGGGAACGACGGATTTGGGATGGAGGAATTGGGGCCACACAAATCTGCCACGTTGCAAGGCAACCTCGGCAAAGCAAAGTGAAGACTCGAACTGAAAATGAAGCGGCTATGTACAACTGAAGTGTAAAAAATTAGGGTGCATCAGCTAAGATAGTTTGGTGCGTTCCCCATATCGAGTCCAGTTCTCGCTCGCCCTGGACACCCCCAAGCCATGAGCGCAGTGACTCCATCATCTTCGCCATTCGGTTCTTATTCGCATGGTTAGTCCGAGATTGGTCGTGGTAGCTCGCTATGGCAGACGTGGTAGAAAATCCTGCACTCGACGACACCGGGGGGTTTCTTGAAGGGCTTTTTGACACTGATTCGGACGTTATAACCCGACGAATGTGGGTATCTGGCGGGTCGTCATTCTTCATCGTTATCCTTCCGGCTCCCCCCCTTCAGTATTCACGCATTCCGCCCATTTCGTCACGTCTCGTTTCAAACTTTCTGCAAACCTACTTAATCCCTCCCTCTTCACTCACCGATTCCCGTTTCAGTCCGTCCCGCAACACCGAATATTCTCAACCGCACTACTGGCGAACGCGATACGCGGGAGAGGAAACCATCCTCTATGACTGGTACGCCATTCCGATGTTACTGCTACTCATCGATCCCTCGCCGTTCGTCCTCTTTCCCTACCGTCACCGCATTGTATCCCGTGCTCATGCAATTCTTCCGTACTACACTTCTTGAAGGACTTCACTCTGGCCTCGCATGCCGTACGTACCGTTTCCTGAAGTCCAGTCTCACATCCGCCTCCCGCAAGAAACCACCAATTCGTCAAACCCATTTCCATAACACTCAGGTACGATGTTGACTTCGAGTCCTTCTGGCGATCGCACATTGGTCCTCTCTGTTCAACAGAAGTCAGGAAAGTGAGGGAAATACAGGAGCGGGACAACTCTTGCCAAAAAGGAAGCCCGTTAATGATAAATGCGTCATCTTCAGCACCTGCAATGTCGGCAGCATCATCATCAGCAAATGCAGCATCCGGATCTGCAGAGGTTGAGTTGGAGGCAAGGGCAGCAGCAGCGGTGGCACCGCTGGTGGTGGTGGAGATAGGCAGCGGCAATTCAGAGTGGAGCATGCGCATGGCAGAGAGGGGCCTACATGTGATCAGCACGGACGTGGACGCTGGCGTGATGGCCTCCATGACTCGACTCCATGCCTCCCATCCTCAGTTCGCCGCCCATCCAGTTGACCGCATGGTTGCTGATGCACGATGCCTGCCATTCCGAGGTTTGGAATGCCGCTTACTTATTGAGACGTATGGTGCCAATTTAGGGCTATCCTTTTGACAGAATGAATGGACATCTTGCTGACGGAGCTGCATGATTTCTTTTTGTTGCTGGCAGGGGTGGTGGATATGGTGGTGGATAAGGGAACCGTGGATGCTCTGCTGTGCCAGCCACCTTCAAAGGTAGGCTTGGTATGAAACTGGTGGGTTGTGACTTGGAGAGTAAGAGGTAATCCAGTGGCCTTTCTTTGCTATGTAGAGCAGGTACTTGCTCTGGTACTTCCGCCTCTGCACTGCACGCAACAGGAGGTCAATCCCAATGTTTCTATAAGTCATTATTCTGTACTCTGGTTGTTGTTCTTATTCCAGGACTACAAGCTACAACCGCTCTCATGTGAGCCTATGAAGGCGACACCTTCGGAGAGGCAAATGGTCATGCCACGTCAAGTTGTTCTTTGGACAAAAGCTGAGAGAAGTGACGGTGTGACATCCCTTGCCAGGTAAGTTACCTGGGTAGAAAGACATTCCTGCCAACAAATTTCATTTTCTTCAGTCCACCGCGTCCTGCCCTGTCTGCACCACGTTCCAGTAATCATCTCTTCCATCTTCTGGTTTCATTTTTCACTGATGTCCTGTCAGGTCAGTGCACAGATCGTTGAAACCATGTGGCGTTTGGTTGCTAGCCAGTGCAAAGCCATCAGCCGTTCTGCTCACTGCAATTGGTCATCAGCAGATCAGCCAGCACTCAAGTTCAGCCTCTTCATCTTTACCCATAGCAGATGGATTGGGAAGGAGATTTCGTGTGGACGTGCTATCAGAGTCATCAAAATGTGGAGTCACTGTATTGCATCTGACAAAAGAGTCTGACATGAGATAATGCCTATCTGTGTAAGGAGAATGTAAGACGCTACAGTAAGAATGTACGGTATGAATGCTGTCAGCAAGGCCTGAAAAACACACTCCGAGTCCTAGGAGCAGCAATAACCATGCAGCAGCTCTTTGGGTGGCTGAAGCTGTCAAACCCCCAGCTCTCTCACTGCACCAACAACATTCGGAAAGATGTTGCATCAGCCAAAAGAGTCAGAATGGCAGCAGTGTGGAATGTGGAAATCATCAAGACATACCTCAGTGCCACCATCCCAGGGAGACAGAAAGCGATGGTGGCGGCTCCTGTTGACCCTGCAAGCTCAAATGCTGACTGAATCCCAGGGACATAAAGAGAAGCTGCCAGAATGGTCCCTAACAGCAGAGCGGTGGTTAACATATATCCACAAGGATCATGCTTGAGAGGGACAGAATGTGGAAACAGCACGAATCCAACCGTAGACCGGAGCGAGAAGTGAATCACAGGGAAAACCAGCATCAAGTGAAGGGCATAGAATAGCCGGACAATGTCATTCAAGTAGCGGCTTCCAGGAATCCCAAGGTCAGAGTCGAAGTTTGCAAGGACGTCAGCATAGGTCGCTTCACCGAAAAGGAGGTAACCAAAAAGAGCTGTCACAATGTATACACTCGTGCAAACAAGGAATGTCTTCTGAATTGCAGTCTGCATCTTTTCTTCTCGAGATGCCTTGAGCTCCACCAGAATAGGATGCACTGAGCAAGGAGGAAATATCTGTGTTAGAGCCTGTAAAATGGAAACAAATATTGGCATTAAAGATGAACCCTCACTGTTGTAATGGCATGTGAAGGCTGTCGTCATGGTGGGGATGACAGAGAGGAGGTGCCAGTAGTCCTGCGACGTGTTCAGTTGTGGAAGCCAGTGCACTCCAGACCAATCGATGGTCCCTTCAACTAGCTTGTACACAGTAACGAGGATGGTGATGATGACGAACGCAACTGCTAGCAGGACTGATAGTCCTGATGTGAACCATAGGGAGTCTGCAAACCAATTTGGAGGTCAGATGCATGAGCAAGAAAGAGAAAGAGAAAACGAAAACTGGGTGTCGCTGGGACAGATCAAACGGAGCGAACCTATGTCTGGAAGGGCCGCAAGAGGCCCAATAACAGTGACAATTGAGGCGAGGAGCACAGTGAGACGGCTGTTCCACCACGTGGAACCTCCAGCCCACTCCTCGAGTAACCCTGAGTAATGCTCTCCATCTGCGCCGTCCGAACCAGACAGCACATCCCCTGACCAAGGGATAGTGAAAGGCGAAGAGAAAATGTAGTTGTATGGAAACGGATGGGGGAATAAGCAACTGACGAGAAATCCTGACTTGAAAATGCGGACCTATGATGACAAGGTAGATGACGAGGATGCCTGTGTTATTGACAAAGATGCTCGTTCGGAGCAAAAATCTTCCAACTCTCCCATACGTAGCAGCCATGAGATCGCCGAAGGACCACGCTTGAGCTGCAGTTGTGCTTCTGAGAAGCCGCTGGAGTGAGTATTCATTCACTGCTCCCATAATGGTCAGCACTGTCAGACCAAGAGGAATTCCCAGGACCTGCCATTCCTGGGTTTGACAAAGTCAGTCAACCAGCTAAATTGCTAAAAATGCCTAGACAAACTTTAATCTGATCAGGATTTCGTCACAGGCCAGTGAGGACCTTTATGGTCGCTGGAAGTCCCATGATTCCGGCACCAATTATGGTATTGGAGAGGTTGAAAATGGCAGATCCCAGGGTGCCTCCGGGATGTCCATGAGAAATTCCTTCAGAGTCTCCATTCTGGTCAAGCGAGGCGTGACTTGGGATATCTTGTGCCTTAGCTGGCAACAAAGGGGTGCTTTCGTTTGGTAAGGAACCTCGACCATTCTCAGTCTTCTCAATGGGTGACCTGTTTCGCAAACAAGAAGCCTGCCTTAGACTCTGACGGCAAGTTCGAGTATTCTTTCCACAGTCGTGTATTCTTACGCCATGAGCAAGGCTGTGTGTCGAAACTCCAAATCTGCTGCAACGCGATCAGTACAGCGAGAAATTAAAGTCGACAGCAAGCATAACTCTGATCCGACTAGCCAGCTTTCAGGATTAGGGGAGGTAACTGAAGTGTGGTGCCTGGAGATGCCATGCTAACAGCTGGATAAATGCCCTGCTCCTTGATGTGTACACGGGAATGAAGAAATGAAGAGGGAGCAGGCAGCCATGTTTGGCCACGTGTCTGGCCACAGCTTCTCTTTGCATCAGCCCCACGTGGAAATGATGGGCCAATTGCAATCACGAAATGGCGCTGGAGAACACGGATTGGTGAAAGAGACTCGGCTGGTCCCACACGATATCCAATCAAGTTCACCTCCCGTGCCCGTGATAGGGTAGCTCGCACTCGTACGAGTTTTGTCACTGACAGTATTTGTTAACTAAGTTTACGATATGATTGTGGACTGACTCCCAGCAGGGACTAACTACAGGCTACAAAAGTCATACCCAATGGACTGTAAATTCGTACTGAAGACAGAAACTTCTTGCTTCGTCAAGCATCTCCAGGCTACAATACTTCCACATCGTTTACTCCGGAACCCAAGCCCTCACGATTCAACTGCTCAAGAACCCGTTTTCTCCCAGAGAATGTAATCATTCCCCTTGTCGACAAACTTCTCCCACCGCCCCATCAGATCGTTCTGCCGTGACGGGTTCCAGTCAAAGTGGCCCAGCTTCACCACCAGATTATCCCCGACCTGCGCCACATACCCCTGCGCCACTGCATGGAAGATCTTCACTGGCGACCGGCAGTGCACACCCGCGTGCTTCCGGGCGGCGATCAGCTCGGCGATTTGATCGTGGATGCCAAACTCGTACAGGTGATCGTAGAACACCACCGGCTGCAGGGGCATTGACAGGGACCAAAGGGCACAGGCAACAGGGGAACCAGACAGGTGGGTACGGGTGAAAGTACCCCATGATATGAGAGTGTATGCAGGGACATATGTGGCGCTGGGCTTTGGATCGGACAGTCACTGTCAGCAAATCAGCTAGAATCTCTATGTCTGATGAAACTAATGTCAGATGAAATTAGTGCCGATGCACGCCTGAGCTTGCGCTTGCATCAACAGGTGGCTTGGCGTAATGTGCCGGCATGGGAGAGGACGTAGGTGCACTTTTGAAATGTCTCAAGTTATTCATAAGTGGCTTACCGTGCCAGGATGGGAGAGGATGTAGGCGTATCCCTGCAGGAGCTTGTCACGTGGGAAGGGCCAGTGGCCCTGCAGGCAGAACACGAGGTAGGGAGAGGAGAATGGGGAAAAATGAAAGGTGTTTCCCAGTATTCGTAAGAGGTTTCACCTGAGTAAAACAGGAACAAAAATTGATACAGATTCGGTTAAGACATTATGTGTCAGGGCCTTCGCCCAGAGTCACCATCAAGGAATTACAACATGTTCCAACCAGATAGCATGCACGAGCATGAGAGAACATAGACCATGTGCCAGGGAAATGCTTCTGCCATGGAGGAAACACCCTCCCTATCACAAGGGAGGAGGCGCAGGTACCTGAGTGGAGCCGGTGTCGTGGTTCTCAAGGAAGGTGACGGCTCGAGACGGCCACCACCCCATGACGCCAGGGGGCTTGCCCTGTGGGTCAATCAGCCGCCAATACTCGTTGTGCAGTGCTGCATGCAGGATGCCCTGTCAAGGAGGAGAGGAGCGAGGAAGAGAAGTACGCCAGGGGACAGGAGAGGGGGGTTTACTTGGGAAAAGCAGAGTTGTCTGGATGGATCATTGATGCACGGATCAGGGTTTGACTTGCGACTTTGACTTGCGACTTCTATGAGTTCAACCAGGATGGCAAGCGGGGGAGGTACGACCGGAGCAGGGGGGTGGGGAAGGAAAGGAGGAAGGTGGGCAGGGCAGGGGAGGGAGGAGGAGGGCACCATCCCACACTTACTACGGTCTTGCGAAAAGCTCACACTGTCATGCAAGCAAGAAACACAGCAGGTATCAACACACCTTGGTGGTGACGTCAAAAGCAGAGGAGGTGCCTCCAGTGGCGTTGATCCAGTTGATGATGCGCTGCCTGTGCGCGTCTGGGATGGAAAGGGGGGTGGGGCAAGGGGAAGGGGGTGGAGGGGTAAGGGGGAGAAATGACGGTGAATGGGCAGTTGACTGTCATAAGTGCAGACGAGGTGCCTCCAGTGGCGTTGATCCAGTTGATGATGCGCTGCCTGTGCGCGTCTGAGATCAAAGCAGGGTTGGGAGGGGAGGGGCAGGAATACAACATTAGACAGTGCACAGAACACACCTAGTTAATAAGGTAGTAAGTGCGCCTTGACTAATGGGTTGACTGACAGGGCACTGTTGACAGTTTGGCGGTCAGGGCACTCACTCTGGTTGTAGGAGACGGTGCCGCCCTCGTAGCTGAGGCTGTCCCAGTACTCGCCAATGCAGAACGCGGGGCTCGATGCCTCTATGTACTCCTTCACATACCCGCCCCAGAACCCACTGCCACAGGGGGGACAAGGGACCAGTATTTTTTTGTTTTAAATACAACAACAGGGGATCTTCAAAATACATGCGTTCACGGGATGAGCTTCTAGATCCTTTTGTGACAACCAGTGTCAGTAGTACAGCACTCACCACCATCCTTTCTTTGACCCCCCTGATAACATACTCCCCTGATTTGCAATTCCCATTGTGCTCTCACCACGCTAAGTCCAAGTGCCAGCAGGCGTAGCCAACGGCAGCGCGCAGCCGCCACACATGCATGCACATCCCCCCACCCTCTCGATCGCCTATTTCAATGCGCTCACAGAACTTATCGCCCTACACCCGCAGTGCCCCTGCTCTCACCGCGCTAAGTCCAAACGCCAGCCGTCGTAGCCCACGTCGGCGCGTAGCCAGCGCAGCCACACAAGCACATTCCCTGCGCCCTGTCGACCGCCTTCGCCTTTTGTCATTCCACTCACGACCCTTAACTCCCTACACTCGCAACCCCCTTGTGCTCTCACCGGGCGAAGTCCAGGCGCCAGCCAACATAGCCCACATAGGCGCGCAGCCAGCGCAGCCACACAGGCATATCCCCGCACAACCCATAACCGCCCACGGAACCGCAACCCCCTCCCTGCTCTCACCGGGCGAAGTCCAGGCGCCAGCCATCGTAGCCCACATCGGCGCGCAGCCAGCGCAGCCACTCGCAGATGTCCTTCCGCACAAAGTCCTGCGAGTGATCGATGTTGGGCGCCGCATGGAATATGTCGCCTGGGGTTCAATATGGAGAAGGGAAGGGGGGGAGAAGGGGAGGCGGAAGGGGGAGAGGCACGGGAAGTGGGGGAGGAAGAAAGAGGGGAAGAGGAGATAGGGAGGAAATAACCGTAAGTCGGCGTGAAGTCCTACGAGTGGTCAATGCTAAGTGGCGCATGGAAGCTGTAATGGAAATTGATGTCAAACCTTCTCGCTCACACCATAAACACGCCTTTGATAAGCTCTGAGCTCACCACTACTGGGGTTGTCTCTGAGCCTCGCCATGGAAGTTAGGGTCGTCCCTGACAATGGCATCCGGCCCCCACGCCACCTTGCCGCCCCTCAACTCACGCCCCTCATTCCCACCACAGGACCCACTCTTACTCTTACTCATTCTCACCATTGACCCAGCCCTTATAGCTCCCTGTGCTCACCACTGCTGGGGTTGCCCCGGCCGTGGAAGTTGGGGTCGTCCCGGACAATGGCATCGGGTCCCCATGCCAGCTTGCCACCGAAGATGTTCCAAATGCCCTCAGGGCTCTGCTTGGACGCACAGCGGTGGTTCAGCACCACGTCTCCCAGCACCTGGTGTTTGTGGCATGGACGGATGAGAAGAGAGAAGGGGGAGGGGGAGATTGTGGAGATGGAGAACAGAGGGGAAGGAGGCTTGGCTCTGCTTGGACACACAGCGGTGGTTCAGCACTACGTCTCCCAGCACCTGGTGTGTGAGCAGCAGAGGAGAGGGTTAGGGGTGGGGTGTGAGAAGGGAGAGAGAGGTAAGTGACAAGGCACTAGTGGGAAGGCACTACTGGAAAGGCAGGGAGAGCACATTCACGTACGAGGAGGTCGTGGTTGTGCAGCTAGTCAATCCAGTACTGCTGCAGCTGCTCCTTAATAAACAAGGAGAGTGGTGAGAACGCACGAGGGGTTTGTGGTTTTGAAGCGCCTTGACAAAGAGGCCAACTTTAAAGCAAGCACAGGAAGGTAGGGAGAACACATACAAGGAGGTCGTGGTTGTGCAGCTCGTCAATGCAGTACTGCAGCTGCTCCTTGGTGCCGTAGCAAGAGTTGAGGTTGTACAGGTCCACCGGCATGTACCCTGCAGCACCGCACAGGGGTGAGAGGGGGGAGGGAAGGGGGGAAAGGAGAGGGTCAAAGGGGTTGGGGGGTGGTCAAAAGGGGTGACGTTTGGAAGGAGGTAGCACAAGTTGAGGTTGTACAGGTCCACCGGCATGTACCCTGCAGCACCGCACAGAGGGGAATGGAGGTGGGGCTTTATACTCTGTACCTTCCACCTTGACCCTGTCCACCCAGCACTAACCACCCCACGCTGCAACTGACCCCCGCTCACACACCTTGGGAAGAAACTGACTCGGTGAGAGACGGCAGCCACACGGCCGTGATGCCGCAGGCTGCCAGATCAGCGGCCCTGGGAATGAGCTCCACCCAGCACCAACCACCCAGCGCTTGCAGCGCACCACCCGCCACTGACCACCATTTACCACCATTTACCACCGACACACACCTTGGGGTGACACAGATTCCGTGGGGGGCGGCAGCCAGACAGCAGTGATGCCGCAGGCAGCCAGGTCAGCAGCCCTGGGGGCGAGCTCCAGGTACCAGTCGCGCTTGTTGCTCTCCCAGTTGAACGCCTGGATCTGCAGGGCGGAGGTGCGTGGTGTGAAGGGATGAGGAGGAGTGTGAAGTGGTGAGAAGATGCTGCAGAGGGATATGGGGAAGCATGGAAAGGTGAGGGGGGGCGAGCTCCAGGTACCAGTCGCGCTTGTATATGTATATGTTTCGCTTTTACCACCACTGCCCTCAGTTGGTTACGACAACTTTGTGGTTCATTTAAGGAGGGCAATAGAAAGCAATACGACACTGATTCATCCAGCCCTCAAAACCAGCCTGGAAGAAAAAGAAACTTTGATTATCATCCATTTTAACAACCCCTCCTTACCCTTCCCCTCCCCCTCTCACCTCCCACGAACTAATCTCATCCCTCTCACTCTCCCACCCCCCCCCTCTCCCAACCCCCATCCCTACTGTCCTTGAAAGAGAAAAACCAAGGGACGATAACTTACCACAACCTCGCGGCCACTTCCCGTGCCAGACTCTGCACATGGGGTGAGGAAGCGGGTTGGGGCACAGCACATCAAACGAACAAGGCATTGGGGCTCAGAAACGAAGAGAAGGGACGGCTGTGGATGGAAGTGACTCATGAGTCTTGACAAAGAGAAGGGACGGCAGTGGATGTTGGGTGGGTGTGATGGGTGAAGGAAGCGCGACGAGTCATTCTACGAAGGGAATGCTAGAAGAGTGAGGGATCATGAGTGTGAGTGGAGTGAGAAGGAGTGTTAGCGAGTGTGAGCGAGAGTTTCAATGTGGGAACGTGAAACGATCAGAGGACAGCAACGAATGACCAACTGTGGGATGCTGAGGCATTGTAAAGACGGAAATACGGACGAAGGGAGGGAGGGAGGGAGGGAGGGAGGGAGGGAGGGAGGGAGGGAGGGAGGGAGGGAGGGAGGGAGGGAGGGACCGTGGAGTTGAGGGAAGGAAAGATGCGGGCAATGACAATGACTGACAACCACTGCAACCCATGCCCTCCTACTACCGCCCATGCCTTCCACACTACCCACCCTTGCAATCCCCATATAATCATAACATCATCGTTTCCCCCAACCCTCCTCCCCCCTCTTCTCTTGCCTCCTCCCCCTGCCACTGCCCTCTCGTCCCAAATAGCTGCCTTATGCTGCCTCCTCCCTCCACCAACCCCAGCCCTTATCCTGCCCTCGTTCCCCCCTTCACCTTTGCTCTCCTCCAGCTCCTCGGGTGATCGAATCCGCTTGGGCGCCTTGCGCTGCAGGGCGCGCTCCAGCTCCTTGCGCTTCTCCTCGATCTCCTTTGCCTCCGCCTCGCGTGCCTCCGCCTCCTTGGTGAACCTGTCGTCCGCCACCTGCCAGTGGGGGTTTCAGGGGTTTAGGGCGGGTTTCAGGTTTAGGGAGGTTGAGCAGGGTGATGAGGTGGAGAACAAGAGGGAGAGAGGGGAACATAGGGAGGGGCAGAAGGGGAATTGGGGGAAGCAGTATGGGGAACAGAGGGGAAAGAGAAGGAAAACAGCTCCTTGCGCTTCTCCTCTATCTTCGTCGCCTCCGCCTCGCGCGCCTCCGCCTCCTTGGTAAACTTGTCGTCCGCCACCTGTGTTGAATTGAAAGCGGTTGACAGGTGTTCAGTTGGGACAGGTGTTCAGTTGGGTGCGATGTTCCACAAATTCACACAAAAGCCACCAGTGTCGGCAACTGTGCCTCCATCACATCATCTCACCTTGTGAAGGCCGATGGACCACACGTCGTCAGGGGTGGGCAGCTGGAGCGGTACGGCCATAGTGTCATTTATCCTGACCTCAACACTCAGTGACAACACATAATCTCACCTTGTGCAGGGCGATGGACCACACGTCATCAGGCGTGGGCAGCTGCAGCGGCACGGCTGCCTGCACGTTCTCCAGCCCCACAGAGACGGGCAGTGACGGCAGCGGCGTGGTGGTGAGCGTCTTGCGCTGCAGCCACTCGGGGCGCTCCCTCCGGGGCCCGTCCGCCAGAATGCGCCACTTCTCCGACTGCGTCCCCAGCATCACGTCCATGCGCCCGCGCCCCACCGCCTCGCCCACCTCCGCCTCCACAGGTGCAGCCGCAGCAGCAGCAGCAGGAATAGCAGGGGCAGCAGCAGGCGAGGAGGAGGATTCCTTGACCCGGTCCAGCCCACGCGATTTGGCCTGAAAGGGCGTGAGAAAAGAGGGTGCAGGGAAGAAAACGAGAGGGTGTTGAGTTGAGAGGCACTCAGGGCGCTCCCTCCGGGGCCCGTCGGCCAGAATGCGCCACTTCTCCGACTGCGTCCCCAGCATCACGTCCATGCGCCCTCGCCCCACCGCCTCCCCCACCTCCGCCTCCACCGGTGCAGCTGCAGCAGCAGCAGCGGGAATAGCAGGGGCAGCAGCGGGTGAGGAGGAGGATTTCTTCACAGCGTCCAGCCCACGCGATTTGGCCTGAGAGGGCGTGAGGGAAAGGGGATGCGGGGAGGAAGATTGGAAAGCGTTGAGTTGAGAGCTACTGGGCCTGCCCGCCAAAGTACGCTAAGTTCTGCAGCACGGCAAACCAACCTAAGCGACAGCATAAGCAGCCAAGAACGCGGCTCACCAGTGCGAAAAGCTCTTCCACTGCCAGGCTCCGTTCCCTCCACTTCCTCGTGTTCTCCTCTGCAGCCGCCAGGCTCCTCTGCAGCGCGGCAAAGCGCAACAAAGACCCAACAGGCAGACAGCAGTGCAACTCACCAGTGCGAAAAGCTCCTCCACTGCCAGGCACCGTTCCCTCCACTTCCTCGTGCTCTCCTCCGCAGCCGCCAGGCTCCTCTGCAGTGCGGCAAAGCGGCGTGCCACGGCCTGGTCCTTGACCTTGTCCGCCTTCTGTGCTGCCATGGCTGCCGCCCTCAGACTCTCCGTCTCCGCCTTGTACGCCAGTGCTGCCGCCTTCTCCCTGCCCTCCGATGCCAGCTGAGAATTTCGGGGATTTTGGGAGTGGGAAGTAGGGGAAGCAGAAATACGTGAGTTGACAGAGACTCTTCGTCATCGTCTGTGCTGCTGCCCTCTGAAGCCAGCTGAGAATGAGGAGGATGTGGTGGAGGACAAAAAGGGCGAGAGTGGTACAGGGGACAGAGGGGGGGGAGCATACAAGTTCTGACACAATCGAGCATACACTCACCCCAAACTCACCAGCATACCACATACACACACACACACACACCCCCGCACCCCACCCGTGCCGCACCTGCCCGCATGTTCACTCACCCACGTGTCAATCCACCCCCCCTTGTCAACCCACCCGCATGGCCTCTAGCGCCCGCCCTCTCGGTGCCCTCCTCTCTCTCCTTGGCCGTCCTCTCCGCCAGCGCCTGGATCTCCGCCACTGCGCTGCTTGTATTGACACTATGCGCGACTCACCCGCGTGTCAACCCGCGTGTCAACCCGTATGTCAACCCACCCGCATGTCAACCCACCCGTATGTCAACCCACCCGCATGTCAACACACCCACATGTCAACCCACCCCCTCATGTCAACCCACCCCCGCAGGTCAACCCCACCCCATGTTTCCACTCACCCGCATGGCCTCTAGCGCCCTCTCAGTGCCCTCCTCTCTCTCCTTGGCCGTTCTCTCCGCCAGCGCCTGGATCTCCGCTACCGCTGCCTGCGTCGACACTATGCGCGACTCTGCTGCCTCCGCACGCGCTATGGCCGCCTGCACATGGGCGGGGAGCGAAACGAGGGAAATGATGGGGAGAGGATGGGGAGCGTCGCCTCAAAACAGGGTGACAAACAAGGTCGTTAACAAGGCGAGCGACCTGCTGCCCCAGCGGCGCAAAATGTTTCATTTAGGAAACCAAAACGCCTCCTAGCCTACCAAAACCCCGAAACCTCGACCCTTTCTCCCCGCCCACCTTGATCTCCATGCGCAGGGTCTCCTTCTCGCTCTCCGCCTGCTCCAGCTTCAGCTGCAGCGCCGAGCGCTGCTCCTCGGAGCGCATGAGCGCCACCTCCGCGTGCCCCAGGCGGTCCAGCACGTCCAGCCGCTCCTGCAGCGCCGCCTCTGCTGATCTCGCCTGCTCCTTGGCGATGTCCGCCGCTGCTATCGCGTCCTCTATCGTCGCCTTCGCCTCCTCGATCACTGGCAGGGGGCAGAGTGGAGGAAAGAGGGCGAGAACAACCGGGAGCGAGGACAGACGAGGGGGAAAGCACAGTTGCACATAGGGAAAGCTTAGTTGACACGAGTGAGCAGCGAAATGGGGAAAGCTGCATAGTTTTGCGCCTATTCAAAACATCAGTGACATACAGACAGCAAGCACGCCAAGGCCTACTGCATACCAGCAGCAGCAGCTTCATCCGCAGCAAGCCTAATCCTCTCCTCCATCTGCGCCGCCAGATCCGCCGCCTCCGCCTTAGCCGCGGCGATCTTGAGCCGCGCGTCTTCCGCCACGGCCTGGGTCTGCTCCTGCACTGCCAGCGCCGCCATCTGCTCCACCTTCATCGCGAGATCAATCCCCTCCTGCTTCGCCTGCGCCAGCTGCTGCTCCACCTCCTCCTTCTCCCGCTGCAGCCTCGCTACCTCCTCTTTAAACTTCTCCTTCGCCGCCTCTACTTCGTTAACCGCCTCCTCTGTCGTCAGGACCATCTGAGCGGACATGGCTTCGACCTTTGATTCCGCTACGTTGACTGCTTCTAGAGCGAGCTCTTTGGCTTGCAGCGCGCTGGCTGCGGCCTCCTCTGCGGCGGCGAGGGACGCCTTGAGCGCCTGAATGGTGTCCTCGGGGGACGCAGCGGGGCTCAGCGCAGTGCCATTGCCGTCCGATGTCGCGCTCTCTGCTGGTCCCGCCTGGTGGGAGGGGAGGGGAGGGGAGGGGAGGGGAGGGGAGGGGAAGGGGGTGGTAGGGAGGGTGAGGGAGGCAGCGACGCGATGAGAGTAAAGGGGTCTCTGGAAGGGATTCGTTCATTTGAGAGGGGGAAATGGATGCGACGGGGCTTAACGCGACGCCCTTGATCGGGCGTATGGTGGATTACCTTAGTGTCATCAGGTTCCGCAAGAGCAATGAATGAATCTGACATTTTTTACACAACCGAAAAGTCATCCCAAGACGGGATGGATTCAGCTAGAGCAATTTGACGACGAAGACGTTACCTCGTTTGCGATCCGAAGCCTTCTGAAGTCCAACGTGGGTGGAGACCTTTTCCCAGGCTGACCCAGGATCAAGCTCCTGTCGATGTGTGATCCACGCACATCCATATCGCGGAAAGAGGGATGTGTCCCATGCACAAAAAACGAAAGGAAGGAAGGAAGGAACAGACTTGGCATCAACAGCCAGTACGCACACTCCCCGTCACCAGTACCGTCAAGTGCGCAAAGCGGGTTTCCTGAAAGCATGAAGTGAAATTTGCAGCCTCTGTACGCAACCACGACCCGCGTCTCACCTCTGTCCCAGGAACAGGCTGCGGCCAGCAGCAGAGGCAGCAGCTGCGGATCGGAGACGAGGGGAGCCGTCCAGGGCATGCCCTGCGCTGTACAGAGCAGCAGCAGCCGTGGGAAGACGGGGAGGGGAGCGCTGCCTAGGGGGCGAGGATGGGCGGAGCGTGTACAGCAGACGGCTGGATTTGGCTGCCGTTGCTGCTGTGGTAGCGGTGGTGGAGGTGGCGGAGAGCGAGCGGAATGCGGTGGTGGTGAGAGTGTGCGAAGGAGGTTTCGGGCGGACGCAGAGGGAGGATGTCGAGTTTGCTGATGCTGATGCTGATACTGATACTGAGACTGATGCTGGTGCTGATGCTGCTGCCAGCGGTGCTACGCCACTCATGCACGCCTGTTGGGGTGTTAGGAAAAAAAAAAAAAATCCAAGCAATTAAAGAAGCAGTGGGAGAACATGAGCACACATGCTCATGTTGATGATTAAGAGGACGAGTGGGGGGGACGACAAATTGCCATGCGAACAATTGATAAGAGAGTTTCTTATCAAGGAATGGTTAGATGTCCGAATCCGAGCAAACAGAAGCTGACACGGAACAACTGTGACTGCTCCGATGACGCGATGATGAGGTTGACGGATGAATCAAACACGGAATAGACAAATTATTGAAGTACACACACAGTCGTTTCTGGAGCTGAAGCAAACACACACACAATCTCATACGAACAGACACGCACAATCTGCATATGGCGCAGATACAGCCCAGCTCAATCGAGCACAGACCCGGCCTAATGCGAAACAAAAAAAACACGACATCTGCAATAAAACTGCAGCTATTTCACGTTGCTGCCTCTTTCAGCATAAGTACTAAAATCATGACGGACAGGAATCAGTATGATCGATGAAAAGAACTCTTTATGGACACACGAAGGAACACGACAACTCAAGTGACTGACGCATCGAGCAACACATCTCTACAAGCTCATTCATCGCAGCAGCTTCTCTGTAAAATACTAGTGAACCCTGACCCGAAATATATTTACAAACACGAAGGGGCGAGCTCATAGCAAAGATACAGACGACGAATGAAGAAAGAAACGGACCATGACTGATCGCCCGCAGAGAGGGCCCGAGCAAAGGATTGAAGCAGCTGCATCAGATGCTCATCCTATCGTCATGTGCGTGAAGGCTCCACGGCAATAAGAGAATGCGGACGAGGACCCTTCCTGAAGGGAAAAAAGTGCATTAGCTAGAATAAGTATTGTACGTGAAAACGCTGAATCAACGGAGTAAGATCGGGTGAAGTAACGCTAGTAAACGGAGCAGGACGAGGATTATAGGATCGGTTGTGTCAGACGATTGCTAAACAAACACATACTAAACTCGTCGGATCAAGACGAATTTGCTACGCACCAAGAGATGAGTGGCCTCCACACCCTGGACAAAACCAAACGAGACTATCAGGCAGATCAGCAGTGAATGACTGTGTGAATCTGGGAAAAAAGAAAGGATGGGAGGGAAAGGGATGATATCTAGGACAACACGTGTCTGTCTCAGGGTCCTGGCGATTCACTCAAAACAATCTGTGTCGTTCACGATCGTTTCGCGATACCTTTCGAGGTTGGTTTCGCGAAACTTCTCGGGCTATCATTTAGTATGCGCGAAACGTTTGTGGATCGAAAGTCTCGCATGACTTCGTTCGCTGTATCCTCCTCAACAGGGGTGGAGACACGACTTCCGCGAGAAGGGACTCCTCCTCGAGCACTTACAAGCAGGCCTCAACAAACGAGGTTCCCTAGGGCGGGGGGGTTCGGGGAGGGCAGCCTGGGGGAAGAAAATAGAGGATGATCTTGCAGGCGGAGGGGTGCACTGTGCGGAGTTTCTGAGGTTTGTTTCGCGGGTCTTTTTGTTCTGACACACTCGCCCGCAAATATTTCTTGGTGGATCGCACAGATAGAGTTTGTTAGTGACGCGTCAGCGCGGTGGCAGTAGTAGAATTTGACCAATTGACAGGGAGGCGGGCCCACGTGGCGGTTTATGTAAGGTCCAACGGTTCGTGGGCGAGGAAAAGTACTCAAGGGCCAAGGATTGAGCGACAATCTAATCTAGACACGTGGAAAGAAAAGGCTCAAAACATTATTTTCCATAGACCTGCCATCACCGACCTCAACAACAGCTTGACTACAATAAGATATCTAACATACAATTATCATGGATTTTTCTCTTTTTGGGGGGGGTGGGGGGTGGGGGGGGATTGCGAAGCAACCCTTTACAATCGATTCTGCCAAAAAATATTTTCATATTTAATATTTTTAATAAATTATGAAAATAAAATTCATAAACTACAGTACAAATTGTCAGAGGTCCACTGGTGATCCCTGATTGATCTTAGGGAAAGGTTACAGGCTCGTTGTCCTGGAGGGTTGTGGGCGCACTGACCCGCTACTTAACAAGCCCTTTTATCCCAATGGTCTAGTGGTTGGGATTCTGACATGGTATCATAGCAAAGGTCTCGAGTTCGAGTTCCAGAGTGTGCACTTCGGGCATCCCGGTGCGGGGGGTGTTAGAGGTCTACTGGTGATCCCCGATTGATCCTAGGGAAGGGTTACAGGCTCGTTGTCCTGGGGGGTTATGGGCGCACTGACCCGCTACTTAACAAGCTCTTTTATCCCAATGGTATAGTGGTTGGGATTCTGACACCCTTCCCATACTGTGTACATGGTGAATAGTTGTCAGTACTGTTCACAGTGTTGAGATAATATCGGGACTTAAGCACTTCAAGGAATTCGTGTAGTACAGTTAGTACAATGCGAGACTTCGCACGTAATAGTAAAGTACCGATAGGCTGACGTCAGCAAAGCGCTACGCGCCCTAGGATGACGTCAGCAAGTAGCTGTAGGCCTCGCGAATAGTCGCGTACCGTTTAAGAACAGGAATAGCGTGAATAGCACGGTACAATAGGCGAATAGGTACTTTACTCTAGCTATATATTCTGTATGTTTGTCATTTTATAATATGCTTGATTTCAGAGACATTGGTCCTGAAACGTGTCACTATATTAGCTTTACATACTAGCCCAGACAAAGCCTCCTATACTGGCTTTAACTCATACAAAAGACTTCCACTGCAACAGGAAGCTACCATCCCAATTATACGATCCTATTCAATCATTTCAAATTCTAACATGGTATTGCGAGCCTCTTAGGATTCTACAAGCTTCCAACTACTTACTCTGCAACTATGTCTGGCTCTCCACGATCCGACGACAGGTCTTCTGTTACGAGCCCATCACACCCAACAGCGTCTCCAGCTGCTGACAATTCTCATATGCAGCAACATCAGCAACAACAATATCAGCAACAACCGATGTACAGCATGCTACTGAGCAATCAGTCCGTACACGCAGCCGCATCACCGGCATCAGCGGCAGCAGTCGCAGCAACAGCAGCATCAGCCGCCACAACAGCTGCAGCTGCAGTAACTGGTTCTATTAATCAACCAGGACAACAGTTTGGCTTCGTACCGACTGAACCATATCAATATCAAGGGGCTTACCAGCCGACGAATCTTCAGCAGCGCGTCGATGCTTCTGTTTTGTCACTCAACCAGATGTTTCCCGGTGCTATGAGCCTTGCTGGCTCCAGTTATCAGAGTGGACAATCACCACAGGGGAGCAACGGGTCAAACAGCTCCTTCTCCTTTATTCCTGGTGGACAAGGACAGCAAGCATCACAAGGATCTCAGATGCCGTCGCTTTATCGGTTACAGTCAGCCGACGGTACCGGAAGTTATCTTCCTACTTCTGCAAACCCAACAAAGGTTAAGACGACAATGCCATTCATCGGTCAAGAATTCGAACTTCTTGTTCAAACTGCAGGATTTTGGCACTTGTTCGACGGCACAGCACCCTTCCCGTCTCGCGGCTCACCTCTTCAACAGGCCGCTTTCCGGTCGGCGTCGCTGACCGCTTACACAGTTCTCATTCTTAACATGACACCGACTGAACAGTTTGGTATTCGTTCCTTTCGTACCAGCACCGCTCCCGCTGAAGCAGCTTGGTCATACCTGCAGGGGGTCTACATGGCAAAGGACACAGTCAACCACAGAAAAATTCTCACTCAGTTGTCAACGATACAGATGATAAACGGCGAGAAGGTGACGCAGTATATCAACCGCGCTAGAAATTTGCGTGATCAGCTCCAGAAGTGTGGAGGATACTTCCCCAATGCTATGTTTCACACGGTGCTACTCGCGGGACTTGGACCAGAATGGCGGTAGTGTCGCTCCATTCTTCGGATGCAGGCGACGTTCTCTGAGGAGGCACTCTGTGCTGCTCTCATCGCCGAGCAGCAGGATATGGACCTGCACAACGCTCGAGGAGGGAAAAAGGTGGTTAGTAACACAGTCAGTTTTTATTCTACTCCACGTCACAAGCCCGTGCGTTCCTTTTGCTGTAAAGCAGGTCATACCATCGATACCTGCTGGTCGAAGGATAAGCCGCTTTGGAAGCGGTCTGCGCTGACACACACCAAAGATTCTTCAGGTGACACTGCGAAGCCGAACCCTACGAAGCCGCCTGCTACACCTATCAAGACACAGGCAAAACAAGTCATTAATTGCATGAAGTCAGTTTCTACCGTCTACGATCCTAACGTCGAAGACCGTATTCACAATGGTTTCAACGATGAACTCAATACTGTTAGAATACAAGCGAGAATGACGAGGATGGATGACTAGGAAAGGGGGAGGGGTACAAGTACAATGTCGAGAGAAATTGTGTACCCCCTAAGGCTAAACCCACTATAGCCTAGACAACTGTAAACACATAAACTAAGCCTAGACACAACTAAGCATATATGTTTGACACACCCCCATAGGCGAAGTGGGGGATAGCCAGAGCAAGCAATGGTCACAAGACCAGTCAAGAGAAGAAGCAAAGCAAAGCAAGCTCAGGGTGGATCACAAAGTCACCACACAGTCCGAGCACAAGCAAAGGGTCACAAGGCCAGTTCACATGCAGAGTTATATAAAGAGAACCTACAATACACTGATCATACCCTAGCAAGTGCAAGCATGCAGGTATATAGATAGATCACAGTACAGGCAGAGTCAGGCAGTAAGTAAGTGAGGCAAAGTAGGCACAAGGCCTAACACAGTAACAAAGCGCTGATGATCACCAGGCGGAAGTGCCTTGGTGAAGACATCAGCAGTGTTGGCCCGAGTGGCCACGTACGCTAGACGAAGCTGACCACGCTGCTGCAACTCTCGAGCAAGGAAGTATCGCAGAGCGATGTGCTTCGTTCTGTGCTCCAGTCTAAGCTCCTGACACAAGGCTATCATGGCCTTGTTGTCTACGTACAGGACTGGAGGTGAACGAAGCTGCTCTCCCA